GCCACTCTGTGTGGGGCTCACGGCGGTGACATGGAGGAGGGCTTTGTGAGTCTGTAAACGCATCATTTCCCCTTAGCTCTCACTGTCCTGAACCTGAAACAGTCATGGTTATTTCTGAAAGCCCCGTGAAGTGGTCCACGGCCTGTAAGACATTTCTACTTGGTACATTGTAAGAGGAACTTGGTTCACGGCTGGGGTCACTCACGGACTCTGTCTTCCTTCCTGGGGGGTTTTCCCCTATTTCTGTCTCAGACCAGCCCCCCATGTCCCCCCACCCCTTCTTCCCCACACAAAGCTTGGCCCTGGGGTGGACCATGAGGGTTCGCTCTCCCATGTGGAGCTCGTTACAGTTGTCCATTGGTAGTTGAGGGTGGCTGGACTCGGCGGCTGTCAGACTCTGACCCCATCTTGCGGGGATGCCACCGAGCTGCATGCGGGTGAGAGCGGGGAGGCAGGAGGACTGAGGTTTGCTGAGTCCCTGACCCTGAGAGAGGTGGCAGGAGGAGCGGGCAGCGTGTCCAAGGGTTCGAGGTCAGTTACAAGGTCAGTTTGAGGTCAGACGGGACTTGAGGGGACCTCACATAGGCAGGTGATAAAGGGGTGCAGGGAGGTGCTGGGTCCAGAGATGCACATCTGGGGAGCACAGTGGGGCACCTGGGGAGCACAGCGGGGTGCCTGGGGAGCACGGCGGGCATCTGGGGGGCACAGTACGCATGTGGTCTTTCCAGTGTGAGACTGAATGGGTTGCTGGGGAGAGGCAGGAAGGCCCTTCCGCCTGGAAAAGCGAGGGAGAGGTAGGTAGCACAGGAGGCCAGGGGATAGCAAGCCAGACAAGGGAAGAGAGAGGAGAGGGCCCGGAAGTCATGAAACGGGCCACTGGGGCCTGACCAGCTGGGCAGCTGCTCCCGGCGAGCTGAGTAAGACAGAGGCCCAGGGTGAACCGCACCCTCCCTCGGTCGGGGACTCCCGCCAGCACGTCCCCGACCTCCAGGCCACCGATCCACGCCCCACAGCCTCTGTGCGTGCGCCGCGCCGCCACCTTGCCCCTGCTTCTCTTGCTGGGCACGGCGGGAATGGCGGTGCCTTCCTTGTGGTTCCTGCTCCGGCGTCCCCTCTGCAGACCGGTTTCGTCTGGGACAGACGTGTGCTGAGGTCAGTTCCTTTCGTTGGTATGATTTGTTCTGTTTTAAAACTCCAGACGACGGTACAACCGATGTGGTGGGGCTGTGGGATTTGAGTCTGGTTCTGTCCGTGGAGATGATGCTGACCTGTCCGCCCACGAGTGGCCGTGGCGACCACATTAAGTGTACACACCCACGTGGAACACTCGCCGCGCCGTGTAAGCGTCAGCAGCCGCTCTTAGAAGCAGCAGACCGCGTGTGAAGTCCTAAGAGTGTGGGGAAGGACCGGGAAGCACAGACCCGCGATTAAAGTGACTCAGCGCCCAGGAAATCGTACCTGGGGAGAAAGCGAAAGCAAGGGGGAGAGGAGCGTGAGGGGTGCTGTGGAGAGGCGTCCCCTCACGCGGGGCGTCCCGGGGCTTGGGCTCGCGGGAGGAGGGCGGGCTGGCTGCGCTTGGCTGGGAACCCGCGCTGGCCGTCCGGGGGCTGTCTCCTCAGCAGTTCTTGGCGATGGCTCCGCAGTTGCTTTTCTGAACTGATCTGAAGGTGGTGACAGTTCCAGAAAGCAGCCTGGGGTCCGCGTCCGCTCTTGCAGAGCCTCAGGGCACGTAGCCTGGGAGAGGCTCAGTCCTCCGCGGCAAGGAATCCGTAGGGTAACGCGGTGTTTTCCTCCCAGCTTGTCTGACTCTAGGTCGTCCCCCCTTTTGTGGGACATCTGTTGACACCTTGCGGCGCAGAGTGGGGGCACGCTGGGAGGTGATTCCTCGCAGACTGTTGGACCCGTTCAGAAAGGTGCTGTGGTGACCAGCTCGGGGTAGTACGTGGCGTTTAGTATTGTTGGTGGGGGGCAGCACGCATAGTCGTTGAAGGCACCGGCTGTGGAGCAGATTGTGTGGGTTCGGGGTTGGTTTCTGCCCCTTGAGACCCTGGGCATGTCGCCCAGCTTCTCTGTGCCCCCGTTTTCTCACGTGTCTAGTGGGGATAGTGTCCTTTGATACAGCTGCAGTGGCGGGTGGTAGGCGTGGCTCGTGTAAGGAGTTTGACGCTGCCTGGTACGGGGTGGACCTTCGTGAGGGGCGGGCCTTCGTGAGGGGCGGGCCTTGCCTTCGTGAGGGGCGGGCCTTGCCTTCGTGAGGGGCGGGCCTTCCCTTCGTGAGGGGCGGGCCTTGCCTCCGTGAGGGGCGGGCCTTCGTGAGGGGCGGGCCTTCCCTCCGTGAGGGGCGGGCCTTGCCTCCGTGAGGGGCGGGCCTTGCCTCCGTGAGGGGCGGGCCTTGCCTCCGTGAGGGGCGGGCCTTGCCTCCGTGAGGGGCGGGCCTTCGTGAGGGGCGGGCCTTACCTTCGTGAGGGGTGGACCTTCGTGAGGGGTGGACCTTCGTGAGGGGTGGACCTTCGTGAGGGGTGGTTACTGTTGCTCTGCTGTCATCATCACAGCGGGACCGGGCCTGGCTCTCTCCTGTCACAACCACAGCTGTTTAGACTGTGGTCAGCTCCGCTTTTGTGTTTGGGAAGAGGACACGTGCAGTGCCCCTGCCCGGGTTCGGTGCTGGGTGTGCCTGCACGGGGTCCCTGCTCCTGTGATGCGCGTTGCTGGGATCCTCACCAGACTGACTCTGCTTTCCTGTTGTTGTCCTGGTTGTGAGCTGCTGGCGAGTTGACCACCGACTCATGGCGACCCCATGCGCAATGGAATCAGACCATTGTGATCCGTAGAGTTTTCATTGGCAGATTTTTGGAAGTAGCTCGCCAGGCCTTTCTTCCTAGTTCATCTTAGTCTGGAAGCTTTGCTGAAACCTGTTCAGCATCATAGCAACACGGAAGCCTCCCCTGACAGATGGGTGGTGGCTGTGCTTGAGGTGCATTGGCCAGGAATCGAGCCTGGGTCTCCCACCTGGAAGGCAAGAACTCTGCCACTGAACCATCGCTGCCCACTTTGCCTCCCTTCTCCCTGCCCTCGAGTTGATTCCAACTCATAGTAACCCTACAGGACAGAGGCCAACTGCCCGTAGGATTTCCAAGGCTGTGAATCTTAAGAAGCAGACTGCCGCATCTTTCTCCCCTCGAGCGGCTGATGGCTTGGAACTGCCGACCTTTTGGTTAGCAGCCAAGGGCTTAACCATAGTGCCACCAGGGCTGCTTCTGCTTCCCTGAAAAAACACCAAACCCATCGCCATCGTGTCGATTCCAACTCATAGCGACCCTATAGGACAGAGTAGAACTGCCCCATGGGGTTTCCAAGGAGTGGCTGGGGGATTTGAACTGCCAACCTTTTGGTTAGCAGCCAAACTTTTTTTTTTTTTTAAGTTTGGTGGTTTTTTTTTTTTTTGTTTAATTGTACTTTAGATGAAGGTTTATAGAACAAATAGTTTCTTATTAAACAGTCAGTACACATATTGTTTTATGACAATGGTTAACAACCCCATGTGTGAGTGTCGTCCCTTCTCAACCTTGGGTTCCCTATCACCAGCTTTCCTGTCCCCTCCTGCCTTCTAGTCCTTGTCCTTGGCCTGCTGTGCCTCATTAGTCCCATTTTGTTTTATGGGGCTGTCCAATCCCTGGCTGAATGGTGAACCTAGGGAGTGACTTCACCACTGAGCTAAAAGGGTGTCCGGGGGCCATACTCTCGGGGTTTCTTCAGTCTGTCAGGCCAGTGAATCTGGTCTTTTTTTTGTGAGTTAGAATTCTGTTCTACATCCTTCTTCAGCTCTGTCCAGGACCCTCTGTTGTGATCCCAGTCAGAGCAGTCAGTGGTGGTAGCCAGGCATCATCTGTCTGTACTGAACTCAGTCTGGTGGAGGCCATGGTAGCTGTGGTCCATTAGTCCTTTGGGCTAATCTTTTCCTTGTATCTGGTTCTCTTCAGTATTTTAGATGGCTGCCCACAGGCTTTTAAGACCCCAGACGCTACTCACCAAGGTAGAATGCAGAACATTGTCTTTATAACTGTGGTATGCCAGTTGAGCTAGATGTTCCCCGAGAGCATGGTCCCCACAGCCCTCTGCCCAGCAATTCAGTCTCTCAGGGAGTTTAGATGTGTCTATGGAGCTTCCGTGACCTTTCCTTGAGCAGCCAAACTCTTAACCACTACACCATCAGGGTTATAGGCCCTCACAAAACCCTCAGCTCCCACACCTGCTTGCTGTTCAGGTTGGAGAATAATTAAGTTTGGAGCGTGTACTTCAAATTAGATAGTGGTGGTGAAAGTAATTACATGACACGCATTGTCCCTATTCCCAGAGAGTCTGAGTAGCGAAGAAGTGCCTTTGACCATAAAGAATGTATTGGGATAATGGAAAACTGGCTCTTCTGTGTCATGTGTGACTGCCAGCTTCACCTGTGCTGTGCCCGCCTGGGAGGCTCTCCTGGTCCTCTGCTGGCGGTGGGGCGCCATGCGGTGGGGCTCTGCTCTGTTGGGGGGCTGGGCGGTGGGGTGCCGCACGGTGGGGTGCTGGCCCGTGGGGCACCAAGCTGTGGGGCGCCGGGTGGTGGGGCTCTGCACCGTGGGGGGCTGGGTGGTGGGGCGCTGCGCAATGGGGTGCTGGGCTGTGGGGCACCAAGCCGTGGGGTACCGGGCTGTGGGGCTCTGTGCTGTGGGGGGCTGGGCTGTGGGGCACCAAGCCGTGGGATGCTGGGCCGTGGGGCGCCAGGCGATGGGGCTCTGCACTGTGGGGGGCCAGGTGGTGGGGCACCAGGCGGTGGGGCACTAGCAGTGAGGTGCTGCGCAGTGGGGCCCTGGCGGTGGGTGCGGAAGAGTTGGGTTTGTGCAGCGTTCAGATGTGCTCACCTGGTCACCTTTGCCTTATTTCAGACAACATCCCCGAGGACCTCAAGGACCCTTTTTACATTGACCAGTATGAGCAGGAGCACATCAAGCCACCTGTCATCAAACTCTTACTGTCCAGTGAGCTGTACTGCCGGGTCTGCAGCCTCATCCTGAAAGGGGATCAGGTGGCCGCGCTGCAGGGGCACCAGTCTGTCATTCAGGCTCTGTCTCAGAAGGGCATCTATGTGATGGAGAGCGACCACATGCCTGTGACCGAGTCCGACCTCAGCTGTGCGCCCGTGAAAATGGTGAGGCTCCCTCTTGGGCACGGACTGGCTCTGCGTGGCTGGCGTGGCTGTGGTGCAGCAGCTTTCTGTCCTCTGGGGCCAGCTCCTTGCACAGGGATCTTAGAAGTCTGCCCTTAGCCTGCAGGCGGGACAGGCGTGGGCAGGAGTGGGGACGGGGCGCGGGCGGGAGTGGGGACGGGGCGCGGGCGGGAGTGGGG